AACAAAGTTCTACATGTTCGAAACAAAAATTCAGATTCTCACTCAAAGCTGTGCCTTCTACGATATTCAAAGCAAACAGGAAATAAATCGACATGCGGAATCTAAAATTGCATTCCACATCATATCGTTTGATCTAAGTAATAGTACAAGATCTCACTGTAGGATCACTACGTTAATAATGTAGTTAATCAAACTCACATTTTTACATACATTTAAAAGTAGAGCTCAAATCAGAATTGCACAATACAATCAAGTTAACAAAATCTAGAGATATTACTTACATTTTAGGAGACTTTAATGCAAAAATTGGAGTAGGTACAGTTAAACATATAGTTAGACAGTTCGGATTAGGAACTAGAAAAGAGAGAGGAGAAAGGCTCATAGAATTCTGCCAAGAAAAGAATATGGTAATTGCCAATACTTGGTTTCAGCTTCCTAAGAGAAGACTATATACATGGACGTCTCCTTCACATACAGAAAACCACATTGTCAGAAACCAGATAGACTTTGCACTCATAAATAGCAGATATAAAAACTCTATAACCTCAGTTAAAACTTATCCTGGAGCAGATGTTAACTCAGACCACAATCCGTTATAGTGTATTTTTATGTATGAGAGAGTAATAAAACAATAAATTATGCAAATCCCTAAACTGTTTTCGCTGGAAAAAGAATCCCAGAAAGTCTATTTTTATTAGAAAGAAAGCGATATTGTCATATGGAGAAGATATTTTCTAAGAACCATAAAGGAAATGAGAAACCAAAAAAGAAAAATATTTTATCTTGATGAAACATGGATCAACGATGGTCATACACCAAATAAAAATTTGGCTGATGAAACTGTTACAAGTCAAAGGCACGCTTTTGTAAATAACTTATCTACTGGTTTAAACCCACCATCAGGAAAGGGACGCAGGCTGATAATAGTACACAATTGGCAGTTCAACGGTTTTGTTGAAGGTGGTTTATTAACTTTTGAATCAACTCGTATCGGTGACTACCATGAAGACATGACGCTGATGTCTTTCAAGAATGGTTCGAACAAATGATAGATCTTCTTCCTAAGAACTGTGTAATAGTAATGGATAATGCAAGTTATCACTCCAGGACTTAATAGAAGGACTGCCCACAACCAAGTGGTTAAAAAAAGACTTGCAGAATTGGCTGAGTTCAAAAAGTATTACGTACCATCCCGGATCTATAAGAAAGGAACTTTATTCGTTGTGTGCCTTTCATAAAGAAAAATTTAAAAAATACGAAATTGATGAAATTGCCAAAAATCGTGGAATGACAGTACTTAGATCCCCACCATATCATTGTGAATTAAACCGATTGAACTGGTATGGGCACAGATAAAGAGTGAAGTTTCAAGAAAAAATACCACTTTTAAAATTCATGATGTTAAACAGTTGTTTTTGGAGGCCGTAAATAATTTAAAACCTGAAAACTGGGAAAAGGCAGTAAATCACAACTATTAAAGAAGAGGAAAAAATGTGGAAGCTGGACAATATTACTGATAAAATGATCGAGCCAGTTATTATAAATCTTGGTTCTGAAGTTCATCTTCTGAATCTGATTTGGATTTGTAACAAGTAGCTGTAAGTTTTATATTAATATTTTTATTCATCTATTAACATACCTTAGACGGTTTTAAAAACTCTTTTTCTCTTTTGTAATTTTTAAAATTAAAAAAAAATGTGAATTTTTTTAAACCCTTTTTAATGTAGGCCAGTCAGTTCTAATATAGTGTGTGATAAAAGAGGTCACTTTTGTTTACATACACATAACACTTTATAACACTGAAATAATTCATTTATTTTTTACAATTATTCAAAGTAATTTTTCAATTAATCTTGAGCACGCCCATGGAGTGGTCGGAGATACCAGTTAAAATTATGCTAATTACTCTCTCGTTCATAAAAATAAACTATAGTTGCTGACACATTATTATACCAAAAATATTCTTCCCCAGAAAGTAACATTTCCTTCTCCAAATAGTGCTATCTAAATGAACAAGGCCGATCTAAATTCACTCGTGAACTGATCCAGTACAATTTCACTATGCTACAGTCCAGCCCTGATATTCAGTTGTCCAAACCAACAAAAAAATAGCCGCAAATTCGTGAATTATACTTCAAGTAGCTGTGTTAGCTATAGGGTTTTACAACAATATCAGGGCTGGACTGTACATAGTGAAATTGTACTGGATCAGTTCACGAATGAATTTAGATTGGCCTTGTTCATTTAGATAGCCGTATTTGGAGAAGGAAATGTTACTTTCTGGGGAAGAATATTTTTGGTGTCGCGCAAACAATGATTAGTCGTAGATACGCCACATTAGTTATTTATCCGATTGTTGGCCATCAGTTGGTTCAAAATTTTGTTTTCTGACAAAATTTAGCTCTAGAAAAGCTCGGTATTACTCGTATGGAGTGGTCCACTTGTTTGCCAGACAGTACTCCGATCGAATAAGGCTGGGGTCGTGTTAAACAATAGCTTAATCTTTGTGATACTTAGCCAGGGAAACTTAAAGAGATTTCTAAGGTTTTAAAAGAGTATTGGCAAGCTTTGAGTGAACGATCTTCATACGATCACTGGTTATGGACATGCCTAGAAGAGTACAGACAGTCTGAAGACACGTCGGGGTCTCACAATGTATTGAATAAAATTAAATGTATTGAATAAATTAAATCTGCCATATTTTTGCTAGTATCTGTGAGTCTGAACCTGAACATGCCTAAAAACTACAACCGGTCTTAAAATGGTGGACGCTCAACAAAATATTGAATGGAATATTCTCTAACGAAATCAGCGATATTTTTGTTTTTTTTTTTTATATATAAATTCAAATTTAAATAACTTGAGTATAATAATTGATACCGTGATTTTGAAAAGGACACAAGTCCATTAATTAAAACTTCTGTTCCGTTTCATTAGAAAGGGGCATATGTCCATAAACCGACTTAAATTTTTATTTGCCTTTTGTGTTGACTTAATGTATATAAATATGTACCCTTTTCACAGTAAACATGTAAAAGGCTTTATGAAATAAAATGGCATCAAAAAGTGATATTAAAAAAAAAGAGTGACCTAAGCTCTATTTGAAATGACGGGTTTAATTGATTTTAATGTTTACCTTTATGGTAGTTTTAAATACGATTTTTAAAATTTCAAAGTCTATTGGGACAGTCTCGACAAAATATAACTTTGTTTATTTTGAATTATAATTACACTCAATATACGTCAAAAACGTACAATGTATTTGTGTATATATCTGTATGCTCCTAAAATGTGTTTATATAATCAGGTAATTGTTTATATAAAAGCCTATAATTGTACGTAGATTTATATTTAATAGTTTCTTTTCCAAATTTTCCTACTGGTTGGCTTTTTCTATTAGATTTGCCCACTCTTCCGTTGAAGTCACAAAAAAATATTAATCCATTTTCTATTATGTACAATATTTAATTTATTTATCTAATAATAACTGTTATAATAAAAATTTTAATATATTTATCTATATTTAATATATTATAACAAACAATTAATAAAACGTTAAATCAAAAACTACACAAGAAAGCCCTGAAATTAGTATTTCCTCCACCAGAGAAAAAAACCTAGTACCTTCTGCTCGATTATATATACAGGCAAAATTACAACAAAAATAGCCAAACACATGAAAAAGAAAGGAATAACACCGGCTTTCCGAATAAATAACAACCTAGGCAAACACACTTACACAGTGTGTGTACAAACTTAAATGTGGCGACTGCCCAAAAACTTACATCGGTCAAACTGGTAGAAACTTTAACAAACGAATAGCAGAACATAAAAGGGCTTTCAATAATAAAAAACTTTAAAAAAAAGACGAATTTAAAATTCTTCACATTCAAAATAAAGGCCTTAAGCTATCCTTGTTAAGAATCTATGGAAATCAACAAATTAAAAAACACAAATATAATTCTGAATGACCAACTTGAGACAAACAGTTCTCCCCTCCTCAACCTATTTAATTAGAGACTATAAAGTGTAAACGCATGCCAAAAATAGATCACTTGAGAAAGGCAATCACTCGAAATAGCTGTAGTGATAAGAGTTCAAATAAATTTTTGTGGAAGTTTGAAAACAAAGTTTCAGTGTTTTATTGTTACATTAAATGAATTTCCATCAAGTAACGGTCGAATCCATCAACGATTTTTATTGTTTGATTTAATATCTATCTCCCCTCGTTATATTGGTTATTCTATTCGACATTCTGTTAATGCTTTTAATATTTTCTGATGAATTGCTGAGTTAAAAATTCTTGAAGGTTTAGGAAAGATAGACTAAAATTGACGTAGTGGGAGTTGCTGAGTCAGAACAAATATGTAAAGATAAGAGGTATTGGTATGACCTAAGACAAAAACTTGAAGAGAAATGTAATTAGGAAAGGTGACTGCAGATAGGGATAAAGGCAAAGTAATGATTATTGAATATAGAAAGTTATAACATTCTTTTTTTTCCGGAAAGATATTTGACTTGACCTTAGTTACATACTCCTATTTTAAATCTATGATCAAGAAGACGAAAATACTTTAAGGTTGCAACTATTGGTAAGAAATAAATAAAATATATAAATAAAAAAGCACTAACTTGGGTATTACAGTATACGATTTTTATTGTTTGATTTAATATCTATCTCCCCCTCGTTATATTTGCTGAACATTTTTGCATATTGTTACAGAGTAATACAGAAGTATTACATCCAGATCAACACAAATCCATATTTCACTTTGACTAAAACAAAATGATTGGAAATCTATATAAGCATCACAATGTACGTGATTTTCATTCGTTTTCTAAATTAAAAAACTCATGTAGTCAGAATAATGCATATACATAGCGGTCAGTGGTAGCCAAATATACAATACACTCCGTAAAAATAAAAATAAAAAAACAAGAAGAGTTGTTGGTACGTTGACATGAAAAAGTATACATTAGTCCAAACATTTCAAACTTACCGTGCAGCTGTAACGTTGGAAACATAGTGGTGTTTATGAAACCTGAAACAAAATAATAAATTAATACAATTCTTTTTTTTTTCAAATAAAATTATGATCTAGTTAGCTTCGCCTAGTCAGACATGATGATGTATCACGTCTGTCTAAAAGTTTGTACTCTGACCACGGTACCACTAGTAGGTTGCACTTGTTTTTTTTTACTGATATAAAACTAAGTTATAACTAAATTCAATATAAGAACTGAATTTGCTGTAGGCCCCTACTATTTGTGTGAATCCTGCTTCACACATTTGATACAAATTTGTACCCAAAGCTTTGTGATACTATTGGTTTTGTATATGATGGAGGCCTGCAAATGGTAGTAGATCTAATGAAAATTCGTGAGTATTTAACGGAGGATTTGTGAGTATTTAACGAAGGATTTATTTGTGAGTATTTAAGGTAAATTTCATCTAACATCCAAGACATTGAGGAAGTAACCTCAATTCTATCGTGGTGGGAATTGCGTAGTACATCCGAAGTTGCTGATGTTCCAATAATAATTATTTAAGCCCTTTTTACATCAGTAGCCACAGAAATAACATTCACAGTGGCTGGATCCACAATAAAAAGGAACTGATTAACAACTTGAGTAGCTAAAATAATCCACTGGGCACACAATTGGAAAACTATATGAAATAGGACTACATTTATTTTCATTAGCGTATATCAAATTTAGATAGTAAATATGACCATTCTTTTCCAATTCCCTCAGTACTATCTTAGCAATATAAAATCTATTTCCCAAACATCCAATAGAAAAGCTGATACAATATATTGCCCAAGAAATAAATAAAGGGATAAAATTTATGTCGATCCCATTACATATTGGCATAGAAGGTAATTAAGAAACAGAGCAAAGTACGCTGAGGGTAGCAACGACTATGGTCAGTGAAACATTGTGTAAATGTGATTAATCGTGTGTGATTAATTAAACCGGCAGGAGAGGTACACTTGAAGAATATGAGGCCTCTCAGGTCGTCAGCAAGCGAAACCCTCATAATCAGAAGAAAACCAAGAAAAGCATTGGTTTAGAGAAAATAGAAAAAGGACGAACCCTAAGACTGGCCACATGGAACGTGAAGAGTTTATATCAACCAGGTAAGCTGGACAACCTAATAGCTGAAATGGATCGCCTTAAGATAAATATATTCGGTATAAGAGATGTTCAATGGCCCGATTCAGGAAAACTAGCCACAAACAACGGCATGATGTATTACGTTGGTAACAATGATCCAAGACATCGATATGGAGTTGCCATTCTTGTAGATAAAGCGAGAAATAAATAAGTAGTTGGTTTTACTCCCTACTCAGAGAGATTGATGATGATTTAATTGCAGACATTCTCTAAAAATATAAACATTGTCCAAATATATGCACCAACTGCCAACAAAGATGAGACCGAGATAGAGAGGTTCTACATGCAATTGAACGAAATCATAAGATCTACAAAAAAAAGATGATATATTGTTGGTGATGGGAGATTTCAACGCCAAGGTTGGAAAAAGAAAAGTGGACAGATGTGTGGGGGAATTTGGCTTGGGAGAAAGAAATGAAAGAGGGGATAGACTTGTCGAATTCTGCCAAAGCGAGGAGATGGTAATAATGAATACAAATTTTAAATTACCTAAAAGAAGACTTTATACTTGGAAATCATCTGCGGATTCAGAAGATAGCATTGTTCGAAACCAGATAGATTACATTATAATAAAATCTAGATATAAAAACGCTATAAAGTCCGAAGCTTTCAATAAAGTTCCCTGGACTCAGATCTTCCATGACTACTGTGGCGTGTCTACGTTTGGTTGTGTCCAATGTTTGTTCCAAGTTATTATATAATTGTTGTAGTTTTTTCATTCAGAAAGGGGCACTAGATCAGTAAAATATAATTTACATATGCTAAAAAATGAAAACAAGGAGAAACAGTTCCAGTCACATATAAAAGAAACCCTAGAACACACCTGGGCAGTCGACCAGTCAAGCACGGAAATGTGAACAACTGCAAGGAGGCTCTGAAATTAGCAGCCGAAAGCACATTGGGAATATCCCGAACCCAAGAAAGAAACGACTGGTTCGACCAAGACTGCAAAAAAATAACAGATGAGAAGAACGAGGCATTTAGGACCATGCAACATCGAAAAACTAGAACAACAATAGATAGATACAAAAACTTAAGGAGAGAGGAAAAACGCATACACCGAAAAAAGAAACGAGACTCGGAAAATTACATGTTAGAACGGCTCGAAAGCCATATGAGTCACGGAGAAACAAGAAAGTTCTACCATCAAATAAATAGTAATTAGAAAAGAATTCAAACCAAGAATCAACTATTGTAATGATAAGGAAGGCAACTTACCAACAAAGAGGACATCCTTTTACGATGGGTAGAGCACTTTCGAGAGTTGCTGGAAGGGGAACCTACTAACAATATAGAGCTGGAATACCGAAATGAGGAACTCGTGGAACCCCCCTCGATAGATGAAGTAAAAATATCTATAGAAAAACTAAGGAACCATAGGTCCCCAGGTAGCGATGGCATCCCAGCAGAGTTATTTAAGCACGGTGGAGAGCAGCTCACCAAGGTGATGCGAGAAATTGTTTGTAGAATTTGGTCTGAGGAGCAAATGCCAGAATAATGGAGCTTAGGCTTAATTTGCCCGTTACACAAAAAGGGAAACCAACTGGAATGCAATAATTACCGCGGAATAACTCTCCTAAATACAGCATACAAGATATTATCAAATATTTTGCACGAGAGATTAAAGCCTTATACTGAAATGTTTCTAGGGGAATATCAGGCAGGATTCAGGCCTGGACGTTCAACCATTAACCAGATCTTTACACTACGACAGATCCTCGAAAAAGCGCAAGAGTTTAACATAGATATGTATCATATTTTTGTCGATTTTAAAGCGGCATATGACAGTGTCTTAAGACCAAGTCTTTACAACGCTATGAATGAGTTAGGAATTCCAAAAAAACTCATATGTTTGATAAAAGTGACAATGGCGAAGATGCTATCAGCAGTAAAAATTCAAAACGACTCGTCAACCCCCATTTCAAATACATAGGGGTTAAGGCAGGGAGATGCGCTGGCGTGTCAGCTTTTTAATGTCGCCTTAGAAAAAGTTGTACGAGACGCTAATTTAGATAGCAGGGGAACAATATTTAATAGATCAGTCCAAATTCTAGCATATGCAGACGACGTGGACATTATAACAAGAACTAGGGCGAGAACGGCGGAAATCCTAACCGAGCTAGTAGCAGCAGCAGAACGAATGGGGTTACATATAAATCAAAATAAAACCAAATTCATGGCGACTAACACAAACACAAGAGCTGGAAATGTTGACATAAATTTAATCATCAATGACCAAACTTCGAAGCAGTCAATGAGTTCATATATCTAGGGACATTGGTTAACCCCAATAAAATACATCTGAGGAAATAAAAAGGCGAATAATAATTGCAAACAGGTTTTATTATGGTCAATCAAAGTACCTAGCTAACAAACGTCTGTCTCAAAAAAACTCGTATAAGGCTGTATAGAACACTGATAGTCTCCGTTCTCACATACGGATCAGAGGCATGGACGCTAACGAAAACAGATGAATCCGCTCTATCCATTTTGAAAGAAAGGTGCTACGCAAGATATTTGGAGCGGTCTGTGAGAAACGGAATATGGAGGCGTAGATATAACTTCGAACTGCAGAATATCTACAAGCATACGTTTGGTGGTAAAGATATTACCACTATAATTAAGCGAAACCGCCTGCAGTGGGCAGGACATGTAGCCCGGCCCCTGAATCGAACATAATAAAAAAGATCTAACAGCGCAACCTGTGGGAATGAGACGACGGGGTAGACCAAAGCTGAGGTGGATGGATGGAGTAACACAAGATGCGGAGAAGATCGGAGTCGGCAACTGGAAAATTCAAGCAAGGGACAGAACAGAATGGCGTAGAAAGCTTGAGAAGGTCGAGGCCCTCTAAGGGCTGTAGCACCAAGATGATGATGATGATGATGATGAAGTTTTTCATTAACAATTGCTCAATTTAATCAAGGTACAAACAATTTGATACCTGGATCATATCCTGAGAGGGAACAGATATGAAATCACTTAACTAATTATTCAAGGAAAAAATTATTGTAAGAGAGGAGTAGGTCGCAAATAAATTTCGTGGATATGTAATGTAAAAAACTGGACAGACATAAATAACACTGGCGAGCTCTGTAATGAGACTAAGGATAGATGTCTGGCCCTAAAATAATTCACCATGACACCATAGGTACATTATAAGATGTTCTTCATCTTTATGTACAGTAGAAGTTTAAACTTAAACTGTGTTTTATCTTCGACAAGTTATTATCACAACTCTTCTGATCTCGATAGGAAGCCGGTTATACATATTTTTGGACGTGTTTGTCGACTAACACTGCTACTTTACTCCAGTGTTGGGTGCTATTATTACCAGGCTTATAACTAGTTCAGCCTATTTCTAGTTAGTTTTAGAGGATATTCGCTGGCATCTGTTTCCATTTTGCTCCATTTCGCGATATCCCTAGCATAACATCTATACAAACATATAACATTTATACAAATGAATTACCCAGCTACCCTGTAACGAGACGCTTTGTCTATAGTGATGATACGGCATTGTTTGTCCAGGAAAAATGTTTTGAAGATATAGAAAAGCAATTGTTCGCTGGGCTCTAAAAACCCAAGTGTGCGCTTACCACATAAACAGCCAGCATACATGGAAAAAGTTAACATAAAATGAGAAAGAAGAATATTAGATCACTGCAAAAAGCCAAAATATTTTGATTGAGCTCTTACATTTAAAAGCCACTGCCAATACACAAAAGCCACAATTTATTAATACCAAATTTAATTGGAGCAAGTTGGGGAGCTCACTTAACTGTGCTAAGAAGCCTAGTTTTCTGTTTATCTACAGCGGTGTACTCAGCTCCAATTAACCCTGATATGCTCCCTACGTCGATGA